TAGGAAATTTAATGATACTTTAAGTGCAATATGATGATATAAAATTTTAATAAAAATATACGTTTAAGTATTTATCACCTCTTATCAACTGTGAACTAGCTTTCATAAGTCATCCACTATATACACCATTTTTAGCCTAGACAACCTTTCTCTTTTACAACAATCAATGAGCTCTCCCCAACACAACCAACACAAGACAACTCCTTTTCACCATAGACTCCTCTACACCATTATAAGCACTCGATACCCACAAACCAGCAACCTTTTAATTATCGGTTAGTCACTAGCCAAAAATGGTTCTACCATGTAATCCAATCACTTCTTCCTTCCTTGAGCCATTTTAGTAGCCACTTGAATCTATGAAAACAAACTAAGAGGAATAAAATGTGGTAGAGAGAGAGAGAGAGAGAAAGAGATAAGAAATGATAAAATTATTTATATGATATTTTATTTTATAGGTAACAATGACTTTCACCACTAGTATAAGAGGAAAAAAGATGAGATGTCGCTTTAGATCCATTAGGCTCTTCATTTCTAGCAATGATGGTGCGTGGTTCCACACACTAATAATAGTGGTGGCTTTGGAAACCACATGCTGACAATGTTCTTTCACCTCTAGCTCTCTTCGATAGCTACTTTAAAATGTCTGCAATCAATTTTAGATATTTGTGTGTTGAATTGTGACAATGTTCATAAAATGATTATGGTATGGGTGTGTTAATTAATAAAAGAGAATGCATGTATATGACGCATGACTTATTTTCTTTACATGTGTTTAAAACAAATAAAAAATAGAATACTATAAAAAAGAATTAAACATTTTTTTTATTTGCATTATAGCAAAGTATTTTTTCTGAAAAATCATTTTTTTGCATATTTTACCATTGTATAATATAAAAAAATTTGCATTTTGATTAGTACTTAAAAGTGCATTATTATTAAGGTTTTATATCATTATTTTGCACTTAAAGTATCAATAACTCTTTAACTAAATCATGTTTTATAATAACAAGTCTAATACTATAAGATACCTTTAATTTAGGGTAAATGTTTATCCTAAATGCAGGCCTATCACATAAATAAAAGGATTAATTGATGAGTTGAAGTATTGAAATTAAAAGGATATAGAGAGGGTGAAGTTTAGAAAAGAGATGCTAGTTTAGTCCAAACTAAAGCACTGTTTGGTAATTGGATCATAACTGGAGCTGTAGAACTTGGATTTAGGTCTTCTTTATATGGATGGAAAGCTAAGACATAGGCCTAAAACTTTCATGAGAATGCAAGACTCAATTCTGCTGTTTAGAAGTCCAAATCTTAGCAACAACATAGAAGTTAGAATTTATCCTACAACCTAGATACTATTTAGTGTTCAGCTCATATCTTGAGTTCTAAAAGTCTAAATAACCTCAACTTTTTTTTTTGAAAAGCTGAGATAATTTACTAGAACTTTCAGGTTTGAGTTTGTTCGAATTCTGATGTTAGCAATTATATTTTTGACAGATAAGAAGAAAAGGATTGTTACCAAGTTAAGATGTGGCCACCTACTCAGCAATTAGTCATCAAATCAATAGTTCTTAATTTTGGCATATAAAAGGAGGCATTTGCCATCCATTTAGACATCTTGGTTCTCAGATCAAGATTATGCTCTTGCTCTTTTTTTTATTGTAATGCTTAAGTTTTACTTATATTAATCTCTTATTTATGCTTCTAATTTTCTTTCCTTTACATAGTGAACTTTTATCTTATTTATGTTCTTATCTTATTTATTTATATTTCTCTCTTTTATTATGTTTAGTTAAGTTTAGCATGTCATCGTGAAAATATTATACTAATGGTGTAAGAATAAGTATAATATAAACTCAATATAGACTTTAATGTTTGATACTAACATATTTTGTATTTGTTATCTTGTTCGCTTTTAATACTTTGTTTGTTAAATGGTTAGTGATTAGTACTTAAAAGTGCATTTTTATTATGGTTTTATATCATCATTTTGCACTTGAAGTATCAATAACTCCTTAACTAAAATATGTTTTATAATAATGTATCTAATAAGATAAGATACAACAACAATAACAATAACAATAACAACAACAATAATAATAACAATAAGCTAAACTATGGCTAAAAAATTTGAGACCAGGATCCATTCATGCTTGAGATGAAATGCAATAATAGTTTTCAAAGAAGTTTTTTCCTTATCACAAAATAAACTCTTTCAAAAGATAAATCACCATTTTCACTTAAAACCTAGGAGAAACATTTTACCAATGTTGGGATAGATATCGAGACTTGTTTAATAGTTGCTCTTATCATGATTTTGAAACATGGAGATTAATTGTACAATTTTATGAAGGGTTAACACCTAAAAATAGATAAATGGTGGAATTGATGTATAATGAAACTTTTAAAAATAAAGAGTCTGATGAAGCAATTGAGTACTTAAACTTGTTAGCTGAAAAATCTCAAAATTGGGATACCAGAGGTACTTATGAGGCACCGGGTAAAACTCATACTAGAGGTACTTATGAGGCACCAGGTAAAACTCAACTTCATACATCTAGTGGAGGTATGTACAACCTTAGGGAAGATCATAATCTCCGAGCTAAGTTTGCATCTTTAGCTAGAAAAGTCGAGGTACTAGAATTAAAAAAGAGTGATCAATTAAAATTTGTTTAAGACATTGTATGCTAAATTTGTAAAACCAATGAACATTTAACCATTGATTGTCTAACTTTACATTTTTTTAAGGAATGCCTCCATGAACAAGCCTATGTTATAAACAGTTTTCAAAAACTGATTCCTCATTAGCACTTCCTTAAAAGATGGGTTATGATTGGGTATTTGAAAACTACAGTCTGTTAAAGGTGGTGGTTTCCGCTGGTCGGTTTTACTGCTCTGTCTGTTGTTAATGGTTGAGGGCGATGGTATTGTTGATGGTGCCAGCTGAAGCTCTATCGTTAGCATTGAAGAGGATGACCCTAGCTGAGGCGCTGCCTTTGCTAGGATGAACCATCAGTCAGTATTGGCGGTGATAAGTTTGTGGGTGGCTGTGGTTGGTGGTTTTATGCTGCTAGTTTGGTTGCTGAAGTTGGAGATCCACTGATGTCTCTTGTGTGTCAATTTGGTTGTTGTCACTGATCTGTGCCGGAGGTAGTAAATCGATGTGGATCGGTGGACTGATATGCAGGTCTTCTTGGTGGTGTGTCTATTGCTGTCATTGGCTGAGGCGCTGCTATTGAAAATCTAATTACTTTCGTTGATGATAAATAATGTTTGATGAACAATTGCTTTTTTTTTTTGTAATAAAAACATTATGATTTTTTTTTAGATCAAACTGGATCTAGGGTTAAGCATAAACATATAGACCGTTTAATTGTAAGAACAATTAAAATTCTAGCTCTGATATCAAATTTGATATGGGACAATAAATAATAAGAATTACAACAAGAAAAGAAAAAAGCTTTAGAGAAAGAAGAAAGCTAAAAAAGAGAATAAATGGAATTGGAGATATGTAAAGTCTGCAATATTTTCATTAATTATCAAAACTGTCTTACAAAATAACAGAGAATCATATAGTAAAACCCTAAAACATCTCACTATTGAGCTCAGCCTATCAAATCAAACTGTTTAACATAAATAATTTCAAATAAATAAAATAAAAATAAGACAGGTTCAAATGGACTTAGTCTCCCAACCAAAGCGTGATAGACTGGGTAATCATATGTCGTCTTTGTCCATATACTCACATAACTTGCAGTGTGGGTCTGGTGTCCCCACCATAAATCCTTCAAATGAGATCTACTTTAGCTAACATATTTTAAAAACCTAAGAACCCTTAATTTTGCATTGAAAGATTACAAGATTTTCTTGTAACTTATACAATAAAAAGTTATTGTAAGGTATTAAAGTCTTTTAAAAAGAGAGCTTCTAAGCTAAGTGAACTTTGAATTTAAGTTACATATGCTCGCTCCACATCAGGTTCAAAATTTAAGTTTGTTGTAAAATTTCTCTTTCTTTATTTGAACAATCTTATTTTTAATGTATTTTTTTTTTATGATGGATAATTAAAGCTGATTAATTCTAGTAATTACCATAATTAATTCTACTTAAATTCTAATTCTAAAAGTTAGTGTAAAAAGAGGTTGAAGGAGAGATCTTCTTATTTTTTTTTGTTTTGTTCTAGAACTTAGGTTTTAAAACTCTACAGAAAGATTTTGAGTTATATTATTCTTTTGGTTCATGGAGTTTAAAAAAAAGTATATCATTTAAAAGTTAAATTGTTGAAATTCTGAAGGACTATTTGCAAGTAAATTGTTTGCATTTATCGAATGATGAACATTTTAGTTTTAATAACAAAGAGTCTAATTCTTGATAACAATATTTTTATATCTTCGTCCAAATATCTTCAATAAGTAATTAAGTGCCTTGTATTTACACTAGTTTTAATTTAATATCTTTTGTTTTAAGTATAATAATTTATTTTACATGTATTAGTATGCATGCTATAAAGTTGTTTTAATTTAGTTTTAAATTTAAGTACTTTACTCTAATTTATAAACATGCATGCTATATAATTTTCAATTATTATACTTTTATTTGGTAACAATTATATATATAATTTAAGAAATTAATTTTAAACTAAACAATTGTTATCTAAAAAAAATTACCAGCATGATATGCCATCAAGCTACATAAATAGGGCATACAATGGTGCTGACATTTTTTTTATTGCAAAAGAAAGCCTTGTGATCAATGCTCTGCAAAGTGGTAATAGCTTCTTCTTCTTCTTTTCCCGTCTTCAATGCTTCTCTCTCTTTTTGGTTACAAGAAAAAACTGCATGGGCTACATATTATTCCATTTTTAATTTTTTGTTGGAGTCAAATACTAATTGTAAATGTGTTGAAAACCAACCATAAGTCTTTATGATTATGTTCATTTCATGCTGGTGAGCAACTATTGGTAGAATTGAGAACTAGAGATGAATAATGTCAGAATCAAAGCTTAAAAACAGCACAGAGCTAACGATTATCATACTGCGGTAGTGACGACATTTGCAAATTATTTTGGTGCTCATTATAGGACTTTTTCAAGGCATCTCATAGTCATGCATCAAATTTATGTTGCTTGCAGTTTGGTTACAGAACTAGATTTTAAATTCTTACAGGTACAGGATTGTATAAACCTGATGTACATTGTGGAAACACCAGGCTTCTAGTTCACCAACCTACAATTTTTCCTAATCTCCCCATTTTGTCCTGTAAGGACACCAATGTTGGCCATCTTGACCATTGATGCTCCAAAATCCTTGGAAAACAAATAAGGGAACTTGCTATAGTTAAGGACCAATGAAGCGGTTGTCTTATCCCCCATGAGAGCTTGGTCTGATTGGAGAAGCCCAGAATTGTTCAAAAGAAGCTTGTAATACAAGTTATCAAACTTGCTGGAACTAGAAGAATCCAATGGAGCCAATTTTGAGTCAGAATCATCTTGATTTGGGCACGTACTTTGCAAACTTGTTAGAAGTGATGTATCAAGCAGTGGATCTGGTTCACCAGAGCCTCCAAAGTCAAAAAGTCTAGACTTAAATGTGAAGCACTGAGCAAATCCAATAGTATGTGCACCTGTATTTATTATCTAGATTTAGAGATTGATGTTTGTTCAAATTTAGATATACAAGTAATCACCATAATTTGATCAAGTCGAAATCTTCATATTTTTCCTCTCTCTTCTTTTCAGTGGAAGACAAGTGATTATATAGAATTTATGATGGAGGAGGCAAACCTGAGAGCACAACCACATCCTTTGGTTCAAGACCCTTTGAGGTGAATTTTGCAGTGATGTTCACTAAAGGTTCTGAAAATCCTGGGAGCTGCTCATTAGCATCACTCTCACTTGCTGTCAGGCCATCTCGGCGGCCTAAGGGTAGAAACCAATATGGGCCTCCAGACTAAAAACAATAAAAATAAAAATAAAGAATCAACAACTATTAGAATGCAAGCAGGATGATCTTTGTGCAGAGTACGAAGTAAGAGTCTAAATTTCTTACAAGATAAACTGCCTCTCTTGCCGCAAGAGTCAGTATATCAGTACAAGAAACTGTGGCTGGGCATGCTCTCTCCAAATTGGCTTTAATGTCATCAATGACTTCAAAACCTCTAGCCGAGTTTCGATTAGGAAATGCATTTTTCTCTCCTCCATCAAGTAACACGGACCCATCACATCCCTGTTGATAGAAATGAAGAAACAAGAAATCAAAAGACAAAAAATTGAAGTCAGCCTTATTAGCAAATGTTTACAGATTCAATAATCTCCATATGAATGGAGGCAGAGGACTTTGCTCTAGTATTATCCTATACTGTTGGAAACAAGATTTTATTTTTTTAGTGATTACATTAACGAAACAATCGTGGAAGTGAAGCCTCAACAGAGAAGCTGCCATCCTAGAATCATTTGTCATAGCAGACCAAACACCAGATCGAACAATTTTTGTGAGGTCAGGACATGTGTAATCATAGAATTTATAATTAAGCTGGCATGACACCAGAGGACACAAAAGCAGAAGGCAAAGCAAGTGAACAAAGGGAACTTTAAAGGAATTGTGCTCCATATCTTGGCCGTGAACAGTTTGTCTAAAAGCTAAACCAGTATTGTGTGACAAAGCGGTGGTACATAAGAGCAATTTATACACTAAAACAACGTAGGCTGCAGATGTCCCTCTCAATGAGTTTGGTACTATCCCAAATTCTTCTTGATAATGGGGGCATGAACACGCAAAGACCCACTTGATGAAAGATTAATCTGCAAAGTGGTAAATTAGGTATCCCATCTAAGAAAAAATGGAAGAAATATAATAGTGCTTTACACTCTCGTGTTTGACTTAAATTTCTGAATGTGAAGAAAAAACAGCACTTGAAAAGATGACGTTGTTCTTTTAGGCGTAGATATATAGTTTCATCAGTGAGATAAGTCCAAGGAAACAATTAATTATTTTCTCCAAGTGGTAGAATGATGCATTCCATCTAGATAAAAGAATAATGTTTGTTTATACTCTCGAGTTTGACTTGAATCTTCACGTGTGAAGAAATAGCTGAAGTTCATAGAGCAGTTGTAGTTCTTTTAGGATTAGATACTTCTATTAGTGAGATAAGTCTAAAACTAGAATGGTTTTCAGCCAGCAATGGTATTTTCATTTGCCGAAAGGGCGTTAAATGTAATAGTGGGTTACATGCATGCTGCATAATGGGGGCTGGTGAAATGGATCCGTCGGAGACCAACTTGTATTGTATGGTCGGTTCATGCTATGCAAGTGGCTATGGTTAAGATTATCAAGGAATCTGATAAAATCAAATCATTGTCAAATCAACCGCAGCTGTTACCATAAGATATGCTAGATTTTGTGCTCTCCATAATTATAGGATCAGTTTGAAATATTGCTATCGATTCTGATTGTAAACATCCTTCAGTTTACACATATTTGAATTCTGAAATCAAGCTCTCAAAACTGTATAAAAGATTACAACAAATGAATAGAAAGTTATGAGTTGCATTACATAATATTGTATTGTAGTGTAAATTCTTTAAAGATAAAGAAAGCATAAATCACCTCAAAACAAGGAAATTAAAAGAGCTGATAAATTAATTTTGGGGTATAGTTTAATTGGTTAGGTTTTGGGTTTGTTTTCTAGTTTTACAAACTTTAAGATTATTAAAAGTTTATATAGCCATTAACTTTAGAGTTCATGAGATTAGTTTAGATATATATAAGCTGATATAAATATCTATATTAATCTTTTTTTTTAAAAAAAGCCGGTTAATGATTAACATACAAAAAAAAAAAAAAGCCGGTTAATGATTAACATACAAGCGAGTGGGAGTTGGTGGTAGGCTGCTAACTTGATTCACCACAAATAGGCCAAACAAATTGATTTCTCATTTCTCAAGCTTTATTCTACTAAAATATAATGCTTTTTGCATAGAAACTTATGGGGGAGACACTTCTCCTCTCTAACTCATTTTCTTCGTATCTAAAAATTCTAGATTTCATATATACATTATACTTTCTGATCTCGGAATCAAAGTAATCGACTTATGGCCTGAGTTTGATTCGTTCTTGAATGCTGAGCTAGTTACATAATTATGTTATGGCCAGTGGCCAGTGTTCAGCAGGAATTCCTGCTACACATTGTGCTTGCAGTGGAATTCGCCACCAATATTCTAGAATCCTAGTCACGAGAGCGCCTGTTATGGAGCAATGTTGCCATGATTTCACAAACGTCAAAACGCTTCAAGAACTCATTTCATTCTCCAACAAAGAAAATAATAATGATTCATATAACTTAAAAATGAACGAGTTTTTCTATTTAATTTGTATCGAAGTAACAAAATAATGAACTGTGACCACCAGTATCTAGTTAATTTGTCCATCCATCATCTGTGGTAGCTTGAAATGACACGATTGAAATCCTAGGAAACACATGATAATATATCGTCGGTTGCCACCTGATCGTTTTGAAATTGATAGCCTTCAAATTTCACCTGGCTCTTTGATGCTTTTATCAACAAGGATCAGAAAAAAGTAATTTGCGACAAGATTTCATTCATAGGACTCAACCCTTTTTTCTTTTTTTTTTTTGGCTGAACTTACTGTCTGCTGTCTTTGATGGTGTTCACTCCCAGCAAACCTTTAGGCCTCGGGGGCTGAATTTGGGTGTCCTTTTCAATTGTAGTATTCAGTCCATGGGTGCATCTGTAGAGGATTAGGCACATATTCATGCCGATTAATGATCATATATTGCCTCATCCCTTCTTTAGAAAGTCGAAGCTTGAGTGAATGAAGGCACAAGTTTGAGGTAGCAGATAGAAATCATAGAAATCATGTTCTTCTACCTGTTTCCTGTTGCCACTGTTGTTGACAAAGTTGCATTATCAATCATGTTCAGGTAAGAGAATCCAAAGGTGGCCAGGCAAGAGTGTAGATCTGTTCTCCTTGGTTGGGTCTAGATGAAGCTGGTTCCAGTTCCTGATTATCAAGCTGCTTCCGGTTCCAGCAAGTTCTTTACGATTTTCAAGGGGAACCATTCGTGTAACATGTGTATTCACAGCAATATCTTTAATTTATATACAATGGCATGTATAATTTAGAAATAGTTTAATTATCCACGCTAAGTTGTGGATTTCTAAGTCAATCGATGAACAATATTTATCTGATTTTAAATTTTTTATTATAATTAAAACAAATATTTGATATATGCTCATAGATCATATATACAGGATGTTTCATCCCGATACATCAAAGAGAACGATGCATCTTTGACATGAAAAGAATTATGTTTTCTTAAAGCAACTGTGAAACATATTTACATAGGACATCGGACAAACAGTTCTTTTCTCAGAAATTTTTATCAAAAACTTCTCGAATTAAAACCCATTTCTTTGTTTATGTATTTTTTTATAAACATTTTATTAGCCAAAAAGATTTAATTTAATCCAAAACAAAAAAGGCAATTACATGCATTAGCCACAAAAAAAAAAACATCAAACCTTTACACCTTTTGATAGATTCCAAAACATTTTATTTCATCAAGAAAATAACATCTAAATATTTTATAAATATCCAAAAAACATTAATAGTAACTTCAAAACATAATTAACCAAGTAAAACAACATTTTTTTTTCATTAATCAACATAAACATTAAAAACAAAATTACACAAAAAAAATATTTAAAAACATCATTAAACATATAATGAAAAGCTAAAAGTTTAACTCATATATATCATCATTTGCTAAGTTATATGAGATTTTATACCTTCAATACTGGTTGTTATTTTTTTGCTCACTTTTAAAAAGAATTTTGCCTCCATCATTTCAAACTTTTCAAAGCTTATAAGATCTTTGTGTTAGATTCATGAACCTTCACAGTTAGATTTGTTTTTATTATTTCTCTCCTCCTATATTGTCCTTGTTTTTTTTTTTCAAGGGGTATTTGTAAGGTTTTCTAGGTATTTTTTTGTGTGGATTTAATCAAATATTGATCAAAGTTTAACTATTTAATCAAAATTAGAGGATTATAGATAAAAGTTAACAGTTGGAAGCTTTTGTACTAAATTGATTTTACAAGGATGATTTGATTTTAAGGGTTCTTGCTGGTTTTGCTAGATTTAAAGGGCAAGAAGTTATTTTTAACCTTTTGATCTTTAGATAGAGGTTTTAATGATATTGAAAAGAATCCTGTAAGAAGGTTTTAAGTGTGAATACACACAAAAATGGATAGTTTATATGAAATAGGTGTCACGATCAAAATTGATTGGATTGATCACTTTTGAGGCTTCGCTGAAACAACTCTAATGTAAACATGATTGGAAACCACTTGAAGTTGGTAGAGAAGGTGCACACTTTTTGTTTGGATTCAACTTTGTATAATTTGAAGGTTTGTAGATTCATATTGATTCATTCAAATATAAAATTGTAGTGATGATTGATTATAGATAAGATGTTGGAGGCATCTATGAAAGAATTGAGATGTAAATGTTCAATTTCATCAAAATGGGGTTGTATAGAGGATATTCTTCTTCTATTTGTAAAAATTCTCATGCCATTTGAAAGTCTATAACTCCACAATAAACTCTTAGAAAATAAATGTTAAATTATATGAAACTAAATTCCCAATAAATTATACGAAATTGAAACTAAATTCCCAATAAATTCACAATAAACTCATGCCATTTGAAAGTAAACTCATACAGAATAATAAAATTATACGAAACTAAATTTCTAATAAATTAAATGTTAAAAGATGAAACCAAAAAAAAAAAATACACAAAAGTATTGAAAAAAATGAGTATGAGAAAAAAATTTAATTAGAGGGATAAAAATTTTCAATTGGAGGATTTAATTGAATTGAAAATAGCTTTAATAAAAGGGAAAAAAATCAAAAGAATGAGGTGAAACTAAAAAATAAAATAAAATAAAATTGATTGAAGAATGAAAATAGAAGAAAAAAACTTCAACAAAAGTACCAAAGATAAAATTATAAATTTCAAAATATAAGGATTGAAATGAAAAACCAAACATATAAGAAATTATAATTGAAATACTAAATTGATAAAAATAAAAACTTTTATAAATAAAAAGGGAACAAAATAAGAAATTCATAGAATAAAGACTGAGATCGAAAAATAAGAAACAAATAAAATGAAAAGTAAGAAACAAATAGTACAATTGTATTTATTATCAATCAAAAAAGAGAAAAAAAGAAGAAAATCAAATAATTATTGGTTATTATTCAACCACCGTAAGCTACAATATATCATTCCAAATAGAAGGAGACACGATGACGCATTTAGAGAGACAACGAAATGCCAATTATGTCTACCAAGTGACATTATATGCTTTACTTGAATGGTGCGAATGTCATTCACATTTTAAAAAATATTTTATTTTTAATTAATTAAATATAAAGTGTTGGTGGAAAAACCAAGATGAGAAGAGTGAAAAAGATGAAATGGTGATTATGTTATTTTAATATATCATTTAAAAATACAGTGCAAAACATGTTTTATAAAATTTTGAATTTTTTTTAAATTTTATTATTTTTAAATTTTCAGATCATTTTAATATACTAATATAAAAATAATTTTTTAAAAAATATAAAATATTATTTTATTATATTTTTAAATAAAAAATATTTTTAAAAAATAATTATTATTACATTCTCAAACCAAACACGTAATAAAACAATGGAGAAGACGTAAAAGTTGATTGCTTGATTAGCGCTAAACCGGTGGAGGTATTCTGTGAGATAACAGCAGGTCTTCGCCAATCAACGGAGCGCCATAACTTCCCAATGTCATGTGAAGGAGCCCAACTTTTTGTGTGCCGTGGCGGACCTAAAAATATGTCACCCTCTTGCCTTTATCTTTGTTTCCGACATTAAAAATCTCTTTTTAACTTTTGATTTCCTTGTTTTTATTTTGTTTCACAGCTCAGGAATTAAAAAAAAAAAGTTTGACCCTCGTGGAAAGGAAATAATTGCTTCCAAATTTCCAGCCTTTCTTGTCAACCAATGCATGAGTTTACTCGAATAGCTAAAATTAGATAGTACATGTGTTATGAGTTGTTGTGAAATGCTAATTATATCCTCAAATTATTGGAGTATTATCAATTTTGTATCTAAAGTATTTTTTATATCAATTTTACCCTCAAACTATTTTGATTTCTTAACCATGGCTTCTTTTCAAATCAATTGATAGAAACCATTAAATTCTATAAAATAATATCATTTTTTATTAAAAAAAATTGAATGGAAATATAGATGGAAAGTTCTAAACATGGATGGAAGTTAATTAAAAAAATTTTAAATTTTAAAATTAATTAATACCAAGATAATATTTTGCATGTATCAATCTTACAATTGGAAGGAAGGGAGCGGTTTGTGACTAGCAAACAATGACATGGAGGTCTGATCTGGATGTAGCAATTCTCAACTGCAGCATCGATCTACATGTAGCAAATGAAGGCTCTACTTGTTGTTTAAACTTAAGCTTATAATATAGCTTAACAGAATAGCAATCTGTTCAAGCTGATATCACATAATCCTCAATCTGCCCAACAAAAATTTCTAAGATTCAAGACCAGCTGCTAAAATATAAAATTTGCAACAAGAATTTACAGTTGGGGACTGCCCAAGAAAATCACAGTGATGCTGAAGCTGGCAAGGAAAGCAGCATATTACATGATCCTCCTTGATTGCAGGAAATATTTTAGGAGAATTATCAGGTGATTGTTTCTATAGTTAGTTTACAAGATATGCTTGTATATTATACTATATTTATCATTGTACATTCCCGGACACATGAAACCTCACCACCACATAAATTATGGTGGCTTTGTAATTCTTATTAGAAGCTACTAGGATTATTCTGTCGCATGAGATTTCCTTGGAAAATTAACAGCAACATGGTAGAAGAATAGTTATAACTTTTTCCCTACAATCTAATGACGTTACATTTAGGCAAGAATATTACCTTCGGAAATATACATACAATTCAACTTCTGAGATTGCTGAAGCTCTAAACTCAATGCAATAGCGTACAAAACCTGCTTCTAAAATCCTTGACATGGCCTATATTTCAGATGAGCAAGCATGTAAAACGTTAGGAAGCATTGCTGAAGATGATAAAGGGAAGAACAATCTATTGAAGCAAACTATGGCCACCAGAAATCCACCAGAGTGCACAGGGGTCAACAACAAGACTTCTTCTAATTTACAGTTTGTTGTTAGTTTAGTCCATCCAAAGAACAAGCAGAGGCTCTTCCAGTACTGTGTTATCTGACGTTATGGTTAATTTTAGCACCACATTTGCATAAACTGGATCTTGTGAATAATACCTAATGTGATGTATGCTCCAATCCAACTGCATAGGAGCTAGAGTAGGAGGAACCACAGGAACTGAACAAGGAGAATGATGGGAGGCCATTTTGTCTTTTAAGTTGGAAGTTTCATGACGAAGTTGTTGGACAGTTTTGCTGGAGAAAAAGAATAATGCGCAAAGCTGGAGCCAGAAGTCAAGCAAGAGCAGGATATTACACATTTGAGAATTTACTTAATTCTATGTTCTAGAAATGAAAAGAAGTCATGGAAGGTAACTGTTACCTGTCAGCAGTCGTCTTTCCTTTAGTACTTGAGCTTGGTAATCCTGGCAGATGATCAAATTTGACTTCAGAAGCTCTTAGACTTTGGGATATATCCTGCCAATTAATATGATATATCATCCAAATTACTACAATCCATTTTGAAAGTGAAAATGAAAGGAAAGAAGGAAAAAAATAGAGTGGGAATGACACTGGTAGCTTACAGTCAATTTTATCCCACTGATTGACTGGATGGTAGATGATACATCGAGCTGCTGAGAGTTTTTCAACCACCGATGTTCCAGTAACATGGTTGCTGACGGTCTCTCTGCTGGGTTTCTTTGAAAGCAGCAACGCAAAAAATCCTTGCCCTCTGGTGACAACACTTCAGGTATAGATGGGCTATCCCTCATAACTTTAAACATGGCTGCAGCCTGCACAATAGAAGACAAATTAAAATTTTAAATTAACACAGGAATATTTGAGTCCATTAGGATCACTCAATCATAACCCAGCACTCTGTATCAAATCCAGTAAAAAGTTGCATAATCTCTAAATCCTTTTCCGGTCATTTCATTGAGGTAACCTTAACACTTCCTCCACCACTATGTCAGTACCAAACCTTACCAAGTAACGGGACTTCCATCACCTCAATAAAAATACAGCCGACTTGAAATCTCATTTAGTACCCAACCTTCTGTGTTTTTTTAGGAACATATGATAACAAATGAAACACATCTGTGTATGTAATAAAATTTCATTTCTTAATGATATAGTTGATTGTATCATTTTATAATTTTTTTCCCTAAAAAAACCACATAATTCCTTCATTTTGTATTTTTTTTCTTATTGACATCTATGTTTGGTAGACCAAATTGAAGGTCACCGTGACATAAGAAAAGAACATTACGAAAAATCTTGTACTCACCCCCTCATACTCGCTCCAAGGAGGTTTCCCAGTGAACATTTCAATAATAGTACATCCCAAACTCCAAATATCAACAGCAAGTGCAAGATCAGAGCTGGAATCCTTATGCATTACAGCTTGCATGAGCTGCAGAGAAGGATATTTTGTCAGAATAAGAGATACAAAATAAACACCGCACCGTATTCATGTGCATGAAGCAAGAAAATACCTCAGGAGCCATCCAGTAAGGGCTTCCCTTTAGAGAAAGATCAGCTGCTTGTCCAGTAAGCTGAGCAAGTAGTACCATTTTTATGAGCCCAGTATAAAAAAGAGCAAATTGAATCTTTCATGGAAATTACAATGGTGATTTCACATGCAACTTCAAATCACAAATGCAATAAGGTAGGGTCTAAATGATGTTTCACTCAAGCTGATATCAGGCGTAACTAAATGAAAGGAGTGTCAAATTGTATGCTACTGAATGTTAAAAGATTTCAAGAACAGCTGGAACAAAGTATGGTAGGACAAGAAATTTATTTTGCAAAAAAGATCACACAACCATCATTTTTGAATTTGATAGTCAACAAGGAGAAAATATCTTTAAGCTGTAAAATCTCACACTTAAAGTTTGAACCATCTCTAAATTTTCCCTCCTGCCCGCATATGGTGGTACCAATACCATGACTAAGTGACAACCTTCTTATTTCTAAACAGTATACCAAATTTTATCGATGAAAAAGCAGAAAGGAATAAAGAGGGCATGAACAACAGAGAGGAACAAACTCTACAGTCGTATCAGATTCCATACTGCTAACTAGAACTAACATGATAACACTGAAAGATATCCAAAGGCACAGTAGTTCAGATGCAATGCATACACATTACACAAATTATATGCATTTACTCGTGTAGCCAATAGATTTTTGGAGAAAAGAAAAGAAACAAGTACTCACATGTTTTGCCATCCCAAAGTCCGCAAGCTTCACAACTCCAGATGCATCAACAAGCAAATTAGCCCCTTTTATATCCCTAGATACACAGAGATATGAGATTCTCAGCTACCAAGCAAATGAAACATAATTCCACAAAACTTTTCCCCAAAGACTGCTTAAAATGTATTCTGACACTAATTTCAAAATATAAAACAGCTCATGCTCCCATACCTGTGTATTATCCTCTTGCTGTGCAAGTAAGCTAGCCCAGAAACAATATGGCGACTAAAATTACGAACTACACTTTCTGTTATGGCTCCACAATGTTCACGTACATATTTATTTATTGAACCTGGATGAACATACTCCAGATATATATAGAATTTATCATCCACCTGCATACACGATATTATTTGTTAACTAAATTCATAAAGATGCTCTGGTAAATTAGCCAGAAACCTAAAGACATACTTGTTTAGAAGGAAAAAGAAAAGGAAAAGAAATGGAGGAACCTAAATTAGCCAGTGGAATTACTCACTATTTCACTACCATAATACTGCACAATGTTTGGATGCTTCAGGTGGCTAGAAACTTCAATTTCCTGAACAAATGAAAGAAGTGAGAAAAGAAGATGGGAACAGAATAAAAACCTAACCTTGTTTATCAGTAAACATTAGAGCCTAAAATCAAAACAATGTTTCATCTTAATGCATATGAAGAACTAACACAGAAGCATTAGAATTAAAAGATAAAAAAAATCAAGTACCGAATCTTCACAGCATAAAGCTATGGAGATTATGACACATATAATTGAGTGTTTGAGAATGAAGCTACCGAATCAACTTCTCATAGACAATGTGAATCACCTTTTCTATTAGATTTATAGACTCAGCAAATTTTGGGTCATCAGGAAACATTTCCACTTCCTTCATTGCACATAATGCCCCAGTTTCCCTGTTAGAAACAAAAGGACTGCAATTGGCATTTACTGCATCAAAATAAACCTGCACAATAGATAATAATAGAATTCATGTACCTATTGCTGGCAACATAAACACTTCCAAATGTACCGCGTCCAATTAGCTTTCCCTTCTGCCACTGACTTTTCATAGACATGGATTCTAGTTTAGAAAGAGCTAGAGGAACTGGTATTGATGGTGAAGGGACAGCTGCTCCTGGAGGAAGAGGTAAAGGGTGGACCTCAAAATTAGCATTACTTTCACGCCATGCAGCTGAGCTTTCGATTGATAACTTGGCAATCAATGGTGATGGAGGTCCAGTTGGGCTTCTGGCACTCCGTCGGGGACTTAAATTTGGTGGACTTTGAAGAGGAGAACTATCAGTACTAAAAGCACTGATATCCATGAATGCTGGAGGAGGAAGCCCAGGTATGTCTAATGTTGCCATCTCTGGTGCAGACCAGACTTGATTTGCTTTAGCAATCATGCGGTAGTAAGGAAGCATATCAGCAGTGTTACTCGTTCTTTGTGGGCTGCGGACAGGACTTGTGAAAGGACTAGTAGGAGCGCTCCTCGTAGGGATATTGATCCCGAAGTTCCGAGAACTCTGAGCAGTACTGAAATCCGGACGTACCATCCTAGGTGACTGAGAGTGTAGATGCTCAGTCATTTTCTTCATGTTTCGACCAGCAAATGTACTGTTACAGGACCACATATTAACCAAGAAAATTCAATTCTATCTGCTAAATGAACAAAGCATCTCGTTTGAAGCCACGACAAAGGTTCATGTCATGCACAACTACAACCCATAATTGATGCAGCAACTCTGCCTTAATTATGCATTCAAAAACTGACAAAGTCATCATTAATACATTATCTCGAAAAGTGTTTCCAAGATTTGTTTGAATCAAGAAAAACATGCCACACTGTCTACCAATTTTTCCAGGATGAAGCAGAGCATCCTACGATCTATGAATAGCATAATATATTAAAAAACCACAATCTGTATCCTGTTTTGGAGATGAAAATGACAATTAATTCATCAGTCAAACACCGAATAAACTCATCATTGCCTCTTTAAAGATGTTTATTGATAAACAAAATACCTAAAAAAGAAACCCAATTAGCAAAATTACCTAGAAATTGGAGAATTCGAAGAAGACAATCCCTCTCCAACCCTATCACCCCTGTCTCTTTCTCTTTCCCTAAAACCATCGCCATGCCTCTCCTTGGGCGAAGGCAACCTCAAGTCCCCATCTCCAGAAGGCACGGGCAATGGAAGCGGTAATGGCACAGCAACTGAAGCAGAAGTTGACCTCGGAAGGGCACCAGAATCCACATGATGATCCGGTGGTGCCACCTGATTTTTTTGACCTGCAAGGTCTTGATCGGTCAAATGTCTTAACTTCCTTTGCCTTATAAGCTTAGGCCTTTCATCACCACCACCACCTAACCTTAAACTATGATGATTATTTCGACTAATACGACTGCCATGACCTCTCCTAATCGAAGGGAAAGTCTCTTCCGTGGCCATTGAAGAAGGAGAGAAAGATGAAGATGAACGTTTCTGAGGAGAAAGGGAAGAAGAAGAAGAAGAAGAAGAAATGTTAAGAAGCCAACGCATATTGGCCGTAGTAAATTAACAAGGAAATGTCATATTTTGGTTGTTTTGTTGAAGAAGGAAAGGGGCTGCTGCTTCCCATCTTTTCTGTAAATGTAATTAGTTTTGTAGGAGAGAAAACGAAACCGTGAAAAACGAAAGGAGCAATCCATGGAGGGTTGGTTTGGTTGCAAGGTGGAGAGGAAGAAGGAACAGAAAGAAACCAACGCGGCTGTGCTCTCTCTCTCTCTCTCCCCGCTTTTTGCTTTTCCTTTGTCTAGAGAGAGAGGGGAAAAGAGAAAGGAAGGGAGGGTGTGAATGCAGGCTAGCAATAACTGAATTTCCAATTTCTGTTTAATTTCTTTCTGGTTATGTATATTTGTTGTCTTTCCCGCTTCCCCTTCCTCAGATTTTGGTGGTTAGATTCTAGTTAGCTGTTTTACAGCAAAATAATAAATTATTCATAATTATTAGAGTTTTTTCAGCTCATTAATTCACTTATTTTATTATTATGTTACCTTAAATCTAGATTTGAGTAAATTAAAAATAATATATCATTGAACTATACATATATATGCAATGAAAATAGATATTCTCATGCCAATTTGAGTATTAATTGAGATTGAATTCTTTTTTATATAATTTTATACGAGTCCATATACTATTTATTTCTTAATTGGACTTTAGGTTAAAGAAAAGCAATGTTGATTTTAATATATATTAGCTTAATGGTTTTAAGGACTGAATTTTATGCCATTATGCTAAAAACATCTTGAAGTGTTGAAAATAATAAGTTCATTTAATTAGCCGGCAGTAGCAAGAATTTCTTTTTTTGTTGGGGGCTTTTCTTTCAACAAATTATATTTTGAACTCTAAAAATAAAAAATAAATAAAATTTATCCCCTTTAATTTTTTTCTAATTTAATCCCTCTAAACTAAAATCTCTACTATGTTACCGGTTCGTGAGCTTGTTTGCTGGCGGATATATATAGTGCAAATGTTCCATTGTTATCGTGTTAACTTGCTTGATCAAACCATTAGAGTGTTGTTTGTATCCGCGAATAGAGTTATCCCAAACAAATTTTATTAGCCACAAGCACACATTATTTATAAGTTTTTATTTTGTCTTTAGTGAAGCCCAATTGCCATTTCTTGACAGTGTACTTGAACACCTCTAGTACAATCTAGGTTTGCTTTCCAAAATATGCCCAAGATGCGGTTGTCATGCCCATTCTCATGCAGTGCAATGTTTTTATTTTTATTTTTTTTCTAAACTCGTTTACTAGAAAACCACTGTTTGTGTAACAATATTCAATTAAACAAGATTTGGATTACGATTTTTTTTTTTTAAGACAAGGTAATAAATGCCCATGAGATAGTTTGGTAGTTGATGTCTGAAAAATATATTTAAATAACATAAATCATACGGCAAGCAATAAATTATTGAGTTGTCATGTTTGAAGAAGAATCATTGCAGACTGGCAGTTGTATGCGGGGTGAATGAAAGGTGGTTTTTTTTTAAAAAAATATATATTAAAATATTATTTTTTATTTTAAAAATATTATTTTTAACATTAATATATTATAACAATTTAAAATTTTAAAAATAATTTAATAAAAAACCGGTTCAACTAGTCTCCAAACAGATAATGAATATAATGTAAAAATATAAATTTGAGTTATCAGACATCCTTGTAATAAACATTAATTTTAATGCAAGGTTTTTCATGCTAGCATTTGATAGACAAACCAATTAACGTTAAAGGAGGAGGAAAGGACCGGGTCACGATGCTCACCTGACTGGTCGGGTCGTATAAATGAAGACCCGAAGACGTCAAATGAAATGGTTTTATTTCAAAAGTTTAAGGTTGATTCTGTCTTCGAGAACAACAACTAATTACCGATGCAACTCGCAATAACATTTTAAGCTGGAGTGCTTATCTCCATGGAAGTATAGTATGCTTCTATTTGACTGATAGGGGAAAAGGAAAAGGAAAGAAAAGTATGATATAATGAAAAAAGGAAAAGTGGGTTAGCTTTTCTCCGTACATTTATTAATTTAGGACATGTTTCTTGAAAGTAATTTTTGAAAAATTATTTTTTAATTTTTTTATATTTATTTGTTATTAAAAAAATTGATTAATAGAAAATATTTTTTGGTCAACAAAAAATACTTTTTGATAAAAAAAAATAATTTTTGATCAGAAAAAAATTTGGTTTGGTTTTTAGAAAGTTTTTTTTTTTTGCCGTGTTTGTTTTCTGGAAAGTGATTTCAGGGAAATCACTTTTCAAACTTTTTTATGTTTGTTTGCTGTTAAGAAAGTTGGTCAATAGAAAACACTTTCCAGTCAAAGAAAAATTTGGCTTAGTTTTCAGGAAAGTGTTTTTCTAAAAAATTTGGGCGAAAAACACTTTCCAAAAGTTGTGAAAAATTTAGAAATGTTATTATTTGTTAATTATATCAAATTTGATCCTCAAACTTTTGATTGTTATATATATATCGTTTTGAATATTTATTTTTCAATTTTATTTTTGGAATCCACTTTCCAAAAAGAAACAACTTTCCTGCAAACAAACGGAGTAATAACACTAGTTTTCATATTATCATCCTATTTTCATCCAAAGGGTCCATCACATGTAATCATTTTTCCTATAATTTACTAACTATTTTTTTTTATCTTAATTTTATTGGGTGGAAAACTTGAACCAATTTTCGTATAGCAATATTAAGCTTATATTTTCTGTTCAATTTAAAAACAAAGCATTCAAGTTACAATAAAATTCATAGAAAATTTAATTTATGATAACTCGTTACATCATTAAACAATTTTACAGATGAATTCCACCGATGTAAGGCATGAAATTTGTTGGTGAAATTCTTACTGACAGTCTCACTGAAGGAATCCGTTCATCGGTATACTAATCATTGGTAATTCCCCGTCTTGTCGCTAATGTTGTCTAAAATTAAAAAACCAACCACCGACGGTCATACAGACGACGACACGGGCACAAAACAATTTCCCACGAGAAAATTACCGGTTAAACAAATCCTTCTGCATTTGCAACGGTAGTTACCAATAGACTATCCGTTAGTAATAGTGATGGTAAACTCCAAGGAAAATATTATGTCGGTAATTATAGCCTGATTGGCAATTATTTAGCAACTATCAGTAAAATACTACTAGCCAGGAGCCGCCGGTATGTATTTTAAATATATAAAAAATAATTTATTAATAGTAAAAAAGCTGAATAAAAAAATTATATTAAACATTAAAAATATAAAAATAATATTAAATAATATTCATCCAAATATTCATTATAAATTTAATGTGTTTAAAAATCAAAATTAAACTAGAATAGTGGTGGAGCTAGAGGAGGAGGTTGCTTGTTCCCGGGACCGTAAGGCCAAAAAGGAGCTACACATGTATCATCACCCATCATTGATCTCATCTCCATGACCATTTGATAGAGCTAATCATAATTCATTGAGAGTTGTTGATATTGTTGTTTCAAGGCCATGAACTCCTCAGACTGGGTGCTCAATATTGATGGAGAGCTCCCAACAGTTGAGACACTACGGGCTGACTGAAAGTTTTCAGGCATAGTGTTAGAGAGCCCATAGACCAGATTTTTTTCGAGTCCACTAGATGATCCAACCTCCATCCACAAATCTAGATCGAAATTCAGATGGGTCAAAAGATCGTCCCTATATCTCTCCCTCAACCAGCTATTATAGGTCTCCTGAAATTTTTTCAAAAAATCATCATATTCAATTCAAGAAAATAATAACTTACAAAATAAAATGATTGAATGAACATGCCATGAAGTGCTGAGCATGGTTATCCACGAACTGCCGCACCCCTTTTTGGCAGTCTTGACTCTACATATGCATCTCTACAAACAACTTTATCGGACTCAACTCACATCCAAGAGATATAGCCTGTAAAGAAAAAACAGGTTACAAGTTAAATATATTATAAGGAACAATAAATTAATTAATGATATATTTCATTAAAATTAATCTTACCATCCACTTTACATGTGCACTGATGGGATGAAGCCATCGGTGTGCATGGTCATCGAACCATGAATTTACTGATTTTGATTGTTGGCGTCGGACTGTGAGCTCTATGAGAACCGTTTTAGTCCTAATATGAATGGTGGTTTGAATTCCCGCTAAACTGCCACCTCATTCTATCCTTCAAAATTGTTATCCCTTGCATGTTTTTTTGATTTTTTTTGGGTGTCATACCAAAAATCACACAACCTACTTCCATAGTAACAAATTAGAATTTAGAACATAAAATTCTAAACAAAAATAAATATTATTTTTTATGTTACCTAATTGTTGTGTGATTCTCCCATACTCTCCTCACAAACATTGTTGTTCACTCTATCCCACTCAAATTTATGCTGTGTTTATAAATAATTTATAGAAAATAAAAATAGTAAAACATATAAAATTATAAAAAATAATTTATTAAACATAAGCTGGAAATTAAAAGTTAACATCGACCTGAAATCGTTGAAACCATACATTGATATTAGGTCTCCACTTAGGATGTCTGAAAACCTGACTTAATTGAAATAATAGAATCTCCATCGATGATTTAAATACCAATGTTATTGTCATAGTAGTGATTAATACTTAAAAGTGTATTTTTATCAAGGTTTTATATTATCATTTTAGCACTTGAAATTATTTTGCACTTGAAGTATCAATAACTCTTTAACTATAACATGTTTTATAATAACATATCTAATAATATAAGATATCTTTAATTTATGGTAAATGTTCATCTTAAATGTAGACCTATCACATAAATAAAAGGATTGATTGATGATTTGAAGTATTGAAATTGAAAGGATAATGAGATGACCAAACTTAGAAAAAAGATGCTGGTGTAGTTCAAACCAAAACACTGTTCGGTAATTAGGTCATATTTGGAGCCGTAGATCTCGGATTTAGGTGTACTTTATATGGATGGAAAGGTAAGACATAGGCCTATAACTTTTATGTGGAAGTCTGGTTTTAAAAAGGCCATTTTTAATTTCAAATTGTAGCAATAACAAAGAAGTCTAAATTTGTCCTGCAGCCCGAACACTGTTCAGTGCTTGGCCTTTATCTAGAGTTCTAGGAATCCAAATGACCTCTATTTTTTTTCCTGAAAAGCTGAGATAATTTCCTATAACTTTCATGTAAATGGTTCCAATTCTAACGTTATTAATGATATTTTGGGTAGACAAGAAAATATTTGTCTTTTGAAAAAGTTTGTTTTGTGAGATGAAAAAAACTTTTTTAAAAACTGTTGTTGCATTTCATCCCAAGCACGAATGGATCC